TGTTTACGCATTATGCGTTATGCAGAAGTGTGTGCTTCCCGCTTTAAAGGTCAATCTAGACAAACTTGCATAGCGCATAAACATAAGCATAAGAGAATTGATTGGTCCATATGCATGTGCACAAAGAAATAGACCAATCTGTTTCTTTATGCATATGGTTATGCACCTATGCAAGTTTAGGTCTATCCAGACAAACTTGCATAGGTGCACAACCATATGCATAAAGAAACTGATTGGTCTATTTCCTTATGCACATGCATATGGACCAATCAATTCTCCTAGGGTGCGTTGCCACTATACGCGTCGCGCGTCGCGTTACGACGCCGCATCATGAGTTATCCAATCAAAACATTTTATTTTATGACGTCATTTTTGACGCGAAATCTTGTCGAAAATGACGTTATAAAGTTCCTTGCACAATAGGCGATAGTGATAACGATAGTGACAGCGACAAGGTTGCCGACAAAGCTATACCTTTGTCGGCAACTTTGCCGCTGTCGCTATCGCTATCGCTATCGCCTATTGTGCAAGGGACTTAAAATGAAACGTTTTGATTGGATAACTCATGACGCGGCGTCGTGACGCGACGCGTATAGTGGGAACGCACCCTTATGCTTATGTTTATGCGCTATGCAAGTATTAGTATGTATTTGACCGGAAATGAATGTCCGGGAAAGAATCTACCATATGAAATCGTTTGTATTTCGTATGAAGACTTTTAAAGTGCAATTGAAAAGGTTTGTGAGTCATTCGTTTAATTGTAATTAATTAATTATTTTTACACCATGCATTTAGCCGAAATACATAAATTAATAAAAGTTTTTATACGGAATCGTTTGTATTTTGTATGAAGAGTTATGAAGTGTGATTAAAAAGGTTTGTGAGTCACCCAGATAATTTTAATAAAATATTTATAAACTCGGTAATTAGCCGAAATATAGATTTTTTAATTATTCATGTTAAAAGAAGAAAGCGCTAGTGTTTCCGAAGGTCCATCTGCAATCAGAATTAATATGAACGTTTTAAAAATTATTTTATACTGAAATAAATAAATATACAGGCTAATAAGCCTGTAGCTATAAGCGATAGTTACTAATTAAGTTTGTCACTCATATTTCCATCTTGCAGAGGACCTTTGTAACGAGATCAAAGATGTACACCAGCTGTGCAGGGTGAAGAGGTTATCTCAAACGCCCTTAATTGGGCCACAGCCCAATTAAGAGCGACTCAAATGTCATTACCGCTAAGTACTTCTTGCCATTTGAGTCGGCATGTTAGAGCTAGTCACTACGGATTGTGGTGACACAGCACTGGACTGCCTGCAGAAGTTAATCGCATATAGTCATTTCACTAGCAATGTGCCTGATCCAACGGAGCCTTTGCGGTTGCTTCATCGGTCCACAGACCGATGAGAGTGTGCAGCTGCAGATTATTAAAGCTCTGCTGACTGTAATGACAAGCCAGCATGTGGAGGTATACGAGGGTACGGTACTGTTAACAATTCGTACTGTTTACAACATTTACTTGTCGTCGCCCAACCTGGTAAATCAAACAACAGCCTGTGCGACTCTCACGCAGATGATCAACGTGATCTTCGCGCGAATGGAGACTCAGGCGGAGGAAGAGAACGTGAGGCTTGA